CAGTTATTTCTTCTTTTCCTTCGACACATAATAAAAGTTCTCGGCCATCTTTTACATCTGAGCACTTCAATGATTCCCCATTGACATGTGTAAATCATGAAATGAAACTTCCAAAAGATCCACCAGCCATTTCTAGTTCAATTGAATCAATGACTGATCCAAGTTTTGGTATGGTCACATGTCCTGTCTGTGGTCAACAAAAGCTTAACTGGCCTCTTGAGCAGCTCAATATCCATGTTGACTTGTGTTTAAGCAAAAATACAGTGAAAGACATTCTACACAGGGATGAGCAGACACTCAGGAGGTCAAAAGCATTGAAACGGTGAGTTTTCGCAGTTTTGCTATTTAGAGCATTGATTAATAAACACCTGTTAACATTAAAACCATCGCCCTTTATTTAATGCATTATTAAAGAATGTCCAAAACTTGTCCATTAGGGTATATGATTATTCAAATGGGATTCCTAGTTTATACTCTTGGCCATTCTTAATGAGTCTAAACATGAGTTAGAAGACTGAGCTTTTTTATTTATAAAACTAGATTAATTTTTGTCATGCAATGGAGCCTCTCTTTTTCCCATTTTACTACATATTACATGTATTTTCTTTAGCTCAATTTTAATAAGTTTAAGTTTATTTACTTTTTTATTATTTCGTTTTCACAGGGATGGTAAAGAATTACCAGATTTGTCCCTGCCATGTAAAAAAAGAATCAAGACTCAAATGACAGTGGAGTCATATTTTAAATAAAAATTACATAATACTTTATATTATTTATGAAATAATTGTATATGTTAATATTATTTATTTAAAAAAACTGGATACTTTCCTTTTATTTTTGCTAAATTTGTAACTCGTTTTTTGTAATTAAATTTTTATCTTTTAAATAATATCAGATTTAAATACATTTAAAAATATTTATTAAAATATTTAAGTACCATATTCTGGCAAGATGCATTTCATGTGTATTCCTACTTATATTTGTCTCATGCCCCAATTTTTTAATAATACATCAGCCCACCAGGAATCATTGAGTTTTATATTTTCCAATTAATAAAAAGTGTTTAAATTAATAAAAACTAACAATAAATAAGTAGTTTCAAAAATATTTTGAAATGAAATCACCACCATTGGTGCAATGATAATGCTGTATGTAGCTCAAGCCAAATGGGTTTTGAATTCATTTAAGATGTCCTGTGCTATTGGTATTTATTTAGTTAATGGCTGGAATGGACTCTGTTATGTATCGTTGTAAGTATAGAGAATTTAATATCTTATTTAAGTATAATAAAGAAACGATACCCAAACGAGGGCTAATTACAATTAATAAGTTTATTAAAAATATACAAAATCAAAAAGAATTAAAATTAAAGCTATTGACTTACAGTATATTGATGACTTGTTCCGATACTATGTTGAAGAAGGTACAATGATGTAAAGGTACAATATTGAAAAAAGGAACATACACACACTGCAAAATAGAAAGTGCTTACACATTGTAAGCACCTTGACCAATCTAGCATATTCACAAGGATTCTAATAATCCAGACTATAGAGGCAGTAAACCTTGAAGAATAAACCTCAACCACGCGAGTTTGAAAACAGCCAAGTTGGCTTAGGTTGTGAATTCAAAGTAGGAATATATTCAACATTCATTAAATTCCAGTTTATATTAAACCCATCAAATTTATTTTCAGGGTAGTAAAATCCGCCAAGCATAAAGTTTTAGTACACTTAAAATAGGGAAACTAAAAATTTGGTTAATTGTCAAGTAATTTTTTTTCTATAGGCGATTTCCAGGCACATCATTTGGTAAATTGGTGCCTTCGATCTCAGATTTATCAAAAATTCAGAAGATGCTTTTTAAACATTTGTAATTTGTAAACATCGTTAAGTTTATATTATAAGAAAAAACCAGCTGGAGAAAAGCAGACAAAATGTCAAATTTGTATTTAAAAATTGCTCTGTATATACAAACAAATGAGCACCATTCTAATTGGTATTGGTTCTGGTAGTGTGGGTTGCTGCATCCATTGTCTGGCATCTGTGCAACGGTTGGGGAAGCAATGTTGCTATTCTAACAGCTCCTAGAAGATGCCAGGGCAGCCTTAAGCTTTCAACCGATGTCGAGTCCACAGCGTGATTGTCCAGGTGGTTCCAAGCAATTATTGTGCTTGGGAAGAATGATTGTTTATATTGCACTGTCTTACACCGAGGCACAGTCAAGCATGCATTTGCTATTGTTTCGGGTGTAATTGTTTATGAGGTTGTCAGTAGTGAAATCAGTGTTCAGTGAGCGTTTGGCTCTGGTTAATCGACCTGGCTTCTGTGGGGTGAGGTATCTGCTGGGATGGCCAGCACTAGCCCCATGACCACTTTATATTATTATTATTTAGGCATTTTTTTTAGCGCTTACCTTACAGCTCTAAGCGCTTTAAAATTTTTAAAAATATTTAAACTGCTAAAGCAAATAAAAATGAATAACCAGAGACACTAGAATAGTAACTACTATGTGAAAAATGACTATAAAAACAGTAGCTAAAACATTAAAATGGCTATAAAAACAAGTACAGTTGGCACGTTTTGGCATATACTTAAATACAGGATCACCCTGAGACAGAAAATGAGGCAGGGCAAGGAGGGTGCATCACAGGTCATAGGCTGACCTAAACGGATGGGTTTCAAGGGACTTTTTGAAAGTGGACGAGGTTTCTCAATGACGGATGTGGAAGGGGAGCTGGTTCCAGAACGTGGGCGCATGGAAGTAGAAGGCGCATGGAATTAGAAGGAGCGTTCCCCGATGGTCTTAGTTTTGCTTTTTGGGACTGAGAGGGTTCTATTGTCAGTTGAAGAGCGTAGTTGTCTTGTGGGGATGTAAGGAAGCAACAGTTAAGAGAGATAGACAGGAAAGTGAGGGTCAGTGAAAGAGTTGAAGCATAAATTGGCAGACTTATACTTGATGTGAGAGGATATTGGAAGCCAGTGGAGTTGCTGCATGTGTGGTTGAATGTGGAAATGTTTCTTTGATTTAAAAATGAGTCTGCATGCTGAGTTCTGTGCCTTCTGAAGTTTGTCTATGTGGTGTTGAGGAATGCCTGCGAGAAGAGTGACACAGTAATAAGAATATTAAAGTTAAAGGGACGGGATGTCAAATCTTTTTAAGAGGCCAGTGATGAAGCCAGAAGTGGTGGATTTTTAGTCACGTGCTGCATTATGTTGGGTTCTCTCCGTCTTGCTGTAGGTGTGGGTCCCAGATGATCGCCCCATATTCTAGTAGTGGACGGACAAGTGCAAGATAGGCATTTCGTTTGCAGGAAGTTGGGCAGTGGCGCAGATTTCTTTGAATGAAACCTAGTGTGGAGTTGGCTTTTTTTTTTAATTTTGATTATATGTGGTGACCAGTTTAGGTTATTTGAGAGGAGAATTCCAAGGTATGGATTATTTGATACTTGTTGGAGAATTGTCTCGTTTATTGAGTATTTATAGGTTTTTTCTTCTGATGCTCATTGTGTGGCATTTGGTTTCATTAAATTTCATGCCCCATTTGTCCGCCCAATTCATAAGGCACTTCAGATCTGCTTGGAGGTGGTAGTGGTCATCGTAGCCATTTATCTCTGTAGACAAGACAGTCATCTGCAAACAGCCTCACTTGAGATTTTACAGTATCATGGAGGTCGTTCATGTGACAGAGAAAGAGAAGGGGGCACAGCACTGTGCCTTGAGGAACTCCTGAGTCCACGGTGGCTTTCCCTGATCGGGCGCCGTCTACCACTACTTGCATCCTACGTTGTGTTAGGAATGTTGAGAGCCAAGAGTGAAGGTTGCCGGTAATGCCGTAGTGGTGGAGCTGGTGTAGAAGAAGGCTGTGTGTCGAAGGCCTTGGAGAAGTCGAGTATTGCCATGTCGACCTGGGTACCTTTGCCATACAAGGCAAGGAGGTCATTGGCGGTGATGATTAATTGAGTTTCTGTTGAGAATCCAGAGTGGAAACCGTGGTTTAGCTTGGTCAAAATGTTTTAGTGTTCAAGGTGGTTCATGATGTGGCGAAAGATGTGCTCTAGAATTTCGCATGGGACGGAGGTCAGGGATATTGGGCGGTAGTTTGCTGGGTTATGACGGTCACCTTTCTTGTAGGCACTAGTGATATTTGCATCAAGCCAGTCTAGCGGGAGTTTGCCGGAGTCAAGCGACTTTTGGAAAATGTGGGTCATGGTTGGGGCCATGTTGTCAGCCAGGGTCTTCAGGGCAATGTTCGGCATACAGACAGGTCTGGGTGCTTTATTGGGCTTCAGGTTTTTGAGAAGTTTGGCTACTCCTGTTTCAGTTATATTGAGGGGGCCTATTTTAGCAGGTGAGGGTTTGATTGTGGTGGAAATTTTGGTGAAGATGGATGGAAACTGCCTTAGGAGAATTTCTGCTTTGCATTGGCCATCGCTTACAAGTTTCCCATTTTCTAGTAGGGGGACTACGCCAATGTTGTCTTACTTCCTGGATTTAATGTAGAGCCAGAAGGGTTTTGTGTTGTTTTCGAGGCCTTCTTGAATGACTCCATTTATGTACTGCCACTCTCCTCTTCTTAGTTCCCTATGACAATGTTTCTGGAACTGACAGTACAGGGTCCAGTTGTTGGTAGTTTGGGCTTTCCTCAATAGTCTTTTCTTTCTCTTCAGCAGCTTCTTGAGCCGTGTGTTCAGCCATGGTAGATTACATGGATTCATTGCTGTCGCTGATGGGACATTTTGATCTATGCCATTGGATAAGGTATTTTTGAAGGTCGACCATAGTGTATCTACATCCTCTCCCTCGTTATATTTTTTTAGGATGGCTTCACTTCCATATCTTTTTAATATCCTGATGCTAATATCTCTACTATCAAAAGGTTACATAACCATGCACTACTGTATGTTTAAAAAGTACTAAAATTTAAAATATTTTGAAAAGCTAAAGGGAGTAATTAGGGCTTAAGGATTCAGGACAGTAACAAATTTAATTTTAAAAATTTAGAGAACAATATTTTTTAATGCAATTTTATTTCCTTTACATTTTACATCATGAGCTAATAATACGTTGCAAATCTAACTAATCCAGCACCTCGGATTTCATGCATCATGCCACAATGCCGAAGAATTGTAAGAATATTTCTTGTGCTGCTGTCTAACTTCAGGTTTGTGAATTCTGCTATATCTTTCTCTACAATGAAATGGACTCCTGTAAATAGAAATAAAGAATGTTGTGCTACAAAATAAAAACTTTAATAATAAAAAATGTGGACAGATGAAAAGCATTGTTAACTATATGTCCTTAGTTCTGTAGATCCAGTACATATGGTGAATGGCTTGATTTGAATCTGGCCTTAGCTTCTTAAAGCATAGATGGAGATAGACATTTTTTTTTTTTTCTTTTTTTTTACTGCATGGCAGTTGTGGCATTAGCAGTGTACATCTGAGTCAGCTCTATAAAGCAGATAGAAAGAGACAACTGAAGAAAATGTTTAAAGGGTAATTAAAGTGAAATCATATGGAATCGTTTATGAAGTGTTCAAATTTAGCTTAAATGATTTTTTAATAACATTGTGATCACTTATAATAAATAGACTTTAATTTAATAGTATAATGATAAAGTATTTTAGATTTGAGATAAAATTTGAAAATCTATGGTCTAGTGGTTCTCAACCTTCCAAATGCTGTGACCCTTTAATACAGTTCCTCATGTTGTGGTGACCCCCAACCCCAAAATTATGTTCGTAACTATTTCATAACTCAAACTGTAGTGTATATGAGTTTTCCGATGGTCAAAGGCAACCCCTGTGAAAGGGTCGTTCAAACCCCAAAGGGGCCGCGACCCACCGGTTGATGGATGTCGTCCCAAGGCTGATGAAAAAGGGAAAATATTTTGCTAGATTGATTGGTTCTAGATGAAGTAGTTCAAGAAGGAAATGATATCACAGCTCTGGGTGAACTTAATATTCCCTAGCCTAATAGACAGCCAGACCAATTAAATAAGATTTTTAAGGAAGTGGGGACATCACAAAGTTTTACCTATCTCTGGACAGCACAACAAATAGTTACACCACTCAGATATCTTAATCCTGAACTTACCTTTTGTGTCATTGCTCTCCTGCAGTCTAAAGGCTTCATAGAGTTTCCTGTTAGCACTTGATAGTTGAGGTTTTTTTTGTTTCATAATTTTGTATTTCTCTGTAAAAGCTTTGTCAAGCTGTTCAATCGCACAATTAATGCCATCATATGTTAATCTCCCTTTCATGTATCTGCAACAATTTTTAAAACTTTAAAATTCATGTTATTTAAGTCGCTATTTAAATTTTAAAGCAAAATTTGAAAATACTATTTCAATAATAATAATAATAATAAAGTTCATTTCAAAAACAATATGGATTGTATTGGTAAACACCAAAATATTTAAAAGAGTAATAATTATTTTAAACAGCACAACTTTTCAATCACTCTTAGTGCAGATGTTTTTGAGGATTTTATAATAAGTGGGCTTAACTTTAATTATTTAGTCGTGTGATAAGAAATTTAAAAGTAATAAAAGTATAAAGTTTAAGACATTTTATGATTTGAAAGAAATTTAAGTACTCGTACTTAAATCCTGATAATTCCAGCATTCGCAAGATAACATCTTACGATGACGCATATTAGCTTTTAATAAAATTCATAAATACTGGTAAACTAAGAACTGTGAAGTTAATTATCAATTGATTTTAATGCCAACAGAAAGCTTTTGCATGAAAATTAAGCTGAAGTTGATCCTGAATTATTCATATAAAACAGACCTTGCTTTTCTTTTAATTATTATGAGCACATGCCTTACACATTGGTTGAAAGGATATTTCATCATCAACTTTACCAAACTTTTTCTATTCAAGGGAAAACACACTTGTTCTCTTTTCAGATTGTAAAGTTTTACTTTAAGTTAGACTACCTGCCCACTGCTTCCTCCCTAAATTCCAATTTAAAGGATAGTTTGTTCAAACTTACTTAGGCACAGATTCAAATTCACCCACTGTAATATAGTTAAGATAATTACAGCCATTGTTATTATTGTTAACCTTCCCAACAGGTTCAGCTTTTGGTAAGCAGTCTGCAATTCCTTGTTTAACTTTGCCTTCATCCTGTGGTTTCCTTTATAAAAAGAACAAAGATTTGGGCTTATTGAAAGCTGCATTTAATCATTGATGAATAAAAATGTATTTGTCAAGTAATTGTTATACTCTATTATAAGTTAAACAATTACCAACATAGTAAAATACTTACATTTTAGGTAGCCTTGAAGGGACATTATCTAATCCATATTGCAGACTTTCTATAAATGTCTCAGTTTGCAGCTTGATATTCTAAAAACAATAATCAAATTGGAAAATTACACAGAAAATTGTGAGAGGCTTTACAAATAAGCAGATACCGTACCAGAAGATCTTTAACTTAAAAGACATACTTAACAGAGATATAGAAATTACATAATTTTTAAAAATTATAAAATAAATTGAAAAGAGTCTCTATAAGTTAGTCCACTAAGTTTAGCTGAAGGTAGAACTACTGGAGAAGTACTGAAAGTGAAATATAATGAAGGAACTAAATCTGAAATCCATAGAAATGACAGTTGTTATGTTAGCAGTAGCAAAGTGGTCACATAACTTTTGAAGGTCCCCCCTGCCACTTATTGACTTTGGGACCCCTTTATTGAAAATTGATTGTTTCTTTTACGTTTGTAGCTAATGTTACTTCCATCCCTGTGGTGCTACAGACACAATCTGCCACTGGATCAGCAAAAGAAAGTGGATATATCAGGAGTTCTTTACCTCTTTGCAGCGCCGCACCCCTCTTGATTTCAAAACATATCCTGTAACCCCCCCATCTCAATTTCAAAACATATTTCCGACATCCCCAAAGTAAAAATTTTTTAAAACTGATTTTAGTGTTTTGTTCAGGCACCTCTGCTTAAGATCCACTGGGAGGGAGAATGGGGTGTAACACAAAACCAATTTGTTTAAATTAATAAAGAAGGTGTGACCAGCAAGATAATCAATGGGAAAAAATAATATTTTCTGCATTTTTTTAAATTAAATAAAAAATAAATTATGTAAATAGAACTAAACTATGAAAACAGTAAGATGCTTCCAAAATTGGTTCAGGAGGCATTCAACTTCAGAAAAAATCCAACATTACTGATGTCTTTCCCCAAAAATCTTTGACAACCCCCCAAACACTGGTGCGACCTATACATAGGGTATTTATGCTATGGTGCTTCATAATACATACATTTTTTTATTGTTTCTACTATGAGTCTTGTGAATCCTAACTGGCTTGCAAGACAAGAGTAGGTAATGTCTACCATCATTTATAATTTATTCCGGTAGTTCAAAGAATGATGACCATTTAAATTTAATTTGCCATGACTTTCACAGCTCATCCCAAAAAATGATTAAACAGATAAATACCATAAGAAAATTTTTACCTTGTAGGATTCCAATTGTACTTTTGCTGTCTCAACATTCTTGCGCATGTTTCTCAACTCAAATTTCATGGCATCCAATAACTTATTTAAATTGTATGCATTTTCATTATAATCAATGTCGCCAATAGCACTTGACAACATTAAAGCATTTTTAAGCACAGACAAAGTTTTTTGAAAGTGCTGAGTCAAGTCTTCCAGGGTTCCAGAATCCATTATTGTTATTAGCATGGAACCAAAAACCTAATATATTTTTAAAATCTGTCAATTTTCACTCAGTGCAGTCTTGAAGGCAATCCATTAAAGGGAGCGTGGGGTGTTGGGCATTAACTTGGGATGAAATGTTTTGATGCAAAAATTTTGTGATAACTTTGTGATGATTAAGGGAGGGGAGTAGAAAAAAACTGCAACAAATAATAGTGTTGAGTTACTGCTGATGAGCCCCTTCATCCCATAATTGATAATGCTATAAAAAATTACAACTCATGCAAAGTTTGCTTCCATAGAAAAAAGGAGATAATGCTTAAAGCAGGAGTTTAAAATAGATAAATTGGATCTAAATTTTCTTAAATTTAAGACCTTAATATAGTTTCACTGCCAGGCAATGTTCCCTTTAAGCTGTGCGGCTGCGCAGCTATCTCACAGATGCCGCGGAACAGTTTTGAGTACCGCGCAGCGAATTTCCATGTAAGTGTGTGTTTGTGTTTTTGGGCTGTAAAATTTTGCACACAAAATTGATGCTGTAAACCTTTGCACACAACTGTATGATTTTTCACACGAACCAACAAACCTTAGAGGGAACATTGCTGCCAGGCACGGTTTCTTTTGTTTTTAAAGTAATGATAATGCCATTTTTATGTAGGAAAATGTGTTTTGTAAAAAATTTCCATTGGACCTGAATGTTTCAACTGTTTTTATGAGGGTTTCATGTCTTGGTCAAATCTTGTGCAGCATTCTATTTTGTACATATTATGATTATGCATTACTTTGCCACTACTGTTCATGACCATACTACATACATTTAGGGTCTGGATTTCATTAGTTCTCCAAGTAAGCTTTAATTTTAAGTTTAAAAGTCTTTAGCCCCATCATTTTAATGATTATGTGCAGCTGCTTGCTGCTTAGCGGCCCGCAAAGTAACGAAATATTCTTTATTCTTATTATTTTCTTAATAGTAATAGCTTTCCCCCTGACCTATATTCTTTTGGTCCCCACAAGTCCTGTCCTATTTTCTTTTGGCCCGCAAAGTTTTTCATAATTTATTACGGCCCGCCTTACATTTTGAGTTGTGCAGGCCTGGCCTAGGTGATATCAATCAAGCTTATGTCGGTAGATGCACAATCTTTTTTTAAAATCAAATTTTTTTATCAAAGCTAGCCTCAAAATGACCAAGTTTACTCTTACAATTTTGCCGTAAAATGTACGATTTTGAGGTGTATATATACTGTATGTTTATTTTTTCACTATTAAGAACGATTTTGTGAAGATATTGTACGATTTTAAGAGTTTGAGGGTAAACAGGTCTGGTTTACTGATATTGGTGGTAAACCTGCAGTAAATCAGTGATCCTTATTTGTGGAAATAATGTGTCTGTGATCAAGGAATATAATCTGATACGGCACTATGAGACTTAACAAACTAGACTGTATTAAAAGTTAAAAGCCTGAATGCAGAGCAGAAGCTACAGAAGGTAGAAGAATGAAATAGGAATTTAACATCACAGCAGACATTTTCACCAAAGCAAAATCACAAACTGAAGCTGCTGTGAAAGCAAGTTTTATTGTGGCAGAGGAGATCGCAAAATCAGGCCGACCATTTACAGAATGAAATAGTGAAACGAGGTATGTGGAAGCTTGAAATAAGGTAACAGGACAAAAAACAAGGACGTTTCGGCATAAAGCCTTCCTCAGCCAACAATAGAAAATGTACGATTTACAGAAGAAGAGTTTCTGAAGCGCTGCATGACATTTTGTGTTCAGAAAAAACCGGATGTTTGCAAATGTAAGCCTTAGCAGAAATACGGTTGCTGGTCAGGTCTGTGAGATAGCCACTGATGTGAAAAAAAGCTGATCAAAAAAGGCAAAGTCTTTGTTACATTCTCACTTGCTGATGAAAGTAATGATACAACTGACACTGCACAGGTTGCCATCTTCATCCGTGGAGTGGACTCCAGTTTGAATGTTACAGAAGAAATATTGGACATGAAATCCATGCATGGGACAATGACAGGAAAAGACATTTTTGACAACATAAGTCAAAGTTTAACCAACATGAACCTGCCATGGGACAAACATGTTGGACTTACAACAGATGAAGCACCTTCGAAAGAAGTGGACTAGTTTGAAGGATGCGGTTAAAGATGCAGGAGAACTGCACTGGTGAACTGATAGCATATCACTGCGTCATACACCAAGGATCACTGTGTGGTAAAGTCCTCAACATGGAAGGTGTAATGAGCACTGTAACACAAACCATCAACTTTATCAGAGCCAAAGATTTAAATCACTGCCAACTTCAGTATTTTTTGCAGGAAATTGACTCAGAATTCGGCGACATGCCTTATCATACAGAGGTGCAGTGGCTAAGTCGGGGTAAAGTTCTTAATAGATTTTTCCAGCTGATGAAGGAAATCTGTCAATTCATGGATAGCAAGGGAAAAGACTCCACAGTTTTTGGGATAAAAAGTGAAAATGTGAGTTGGTTTTTCTGTCTGACATAATCTCTCATCTGAACGACTTGAACCTGCTGCTCTAGGGCCGGAACCACTTGATCACTGATATGCATGATTCAGTGAAGGCATTTCAAGTGGAGCTGCGCTTATGGGAAACACAAATGCACTAGTGCAACTTGTCTCACTTTTCTTGTTGCCAAGCAATGTTGAACCAAGTAAATGCTACAGTGTTTCCCAACGCACAGTTTGCTGAAAAAAATTAGCTTACTTCTAATCGAGTTCACACCGCGGATTAGTGACTTTGAAGCACAGATAAATTAATTTTGAGCTGTTTCGTAACCCATTTGTCATAGATGTGAAAACTGCGTTTCCTGTTCCATTTTGACTAAATGCTATTTGAATGTCATTTGTGGTAGTTTAATTAAGTTAAGCAGAAGATATAAGTATACAAACATATAGTTCATTCAATTATCTTTCATTTGATACCAAATTTTGTCTTACAAACCCTACAATAATTTTAAAATATTTTTTAATAAACCCAAACTCTCACCCTCGGACCCAGGCCCGAATAGCCGCAGCCTTTAATAATACTACTATTTTAACAGTAATAAATATCATTTAATATTATTATTATTATTAGTGGTGGTTTTATATGGGGCGGTACCCCAGCCTAGGGCTGGGCTCACCAAGCTGTACAAACAATTTGACAAGCATAATCAAGAACTTAAAAATTAACAGACATTAATTAAAATATGGGCTAATGTCTAATGTGAAGAGATAGCACCCTGGCCACTGACATCATTTAATTTGTGTTTTGTCCCTGGTTCTGGTAGGGTCAAAACCCAGGTTAAGGATCAGTTTAGGGTTCAGGTTAGGTTTAGGGATGGATTTACATTTAGGCCTTAGGGTTCAGGTTAGGTTTTATACGGATAAATTTAGGACATAAGTTCGCAGGTTGCAGCAACCAAGGAGGGGGATGGTGAAAAAACACGGTGCTATCTCTTTACATTTACCAAAATATGTAATAATTGTATTTGTGATTCTCAATCATTTGTTGGTAGGCATCGATGGCTGTTTTCGTCGCTACTTAACTCTTACCTACTCTTAATAGTAAGTTAAGGCAGGTTAGTCTTAAAAGTGGTCTTAACTCTTATTTGACTTAATATTGACAATTGATGTACCGGTATGACTATGACGTTGTGGAGTCTACGACTAACTTTAAGTCTAAGCCTATTTAATTATAAGAAAAGAAATGGTAAACTTCCAATATTTACAAAATCTTTTGCATTTAATCTTTTATTTCAATGTATTAAATTCTAAGCTCTAGGCTATGTTTAAGAAATTATTTAAATTTTGAGCCTCCCACCCAAAGCACAATAATGTAAACAATCCAACAGGGGAGCTAACATCCGGTTACAAATTCAAATAACCCAGTCCATTCCAGGGGTTCTTAGCTTTTTGTACAAGGCTGCGACCCTTCTTTTTGTCTAAACCAGGGGTTCTCAACCTTCCTAATGCCACGACCCTTTAATAGAGCTCCTAATGTTGTAGCGACCCCCAGCCACAAATTATTTTCGTTTCTACTTCAAAACAGTCCACACATCCTGTCTCAATTTTGAAAAAAAAACCATTTACCCCACCCACGATAAAAATGATAATATATTGCAAATAAACCTGATTTTCTGGGTCTCCCCGCATCCCCTGATGCCTGATACCGCCTCCCGCACCCTCAGTGGCGTAGACATCCCTGTTTAAGAACCCCTGCTGAATCCCCCTTTTTACAAATGTTTCATCTGGCAATTCAATTTTTAAATTACAAGCTCTTCTTTTAAAAGAGAGAGAGCGAGAGAGAGAATGAAGTTAACGTGAAAATGTTTTTAAAATTTAAAAAATATAATTATACTAAATAAATTTAAAATTTATTTTAATTAATAAATTACCCACGAGACTGAACGTGTATTTAATTAGTCTAATTTAAAATTTAATCCCTTTTTCAATTAAGAAGAGCATTGAAATTGTTGAAATTATAAAGCAGTGTAGATATTTTTTGCTTTGAAAAACAGGGTTGATCCACCAAGGGACGTCTTAGTCTGACAGCAGCGGGGGTCCTTGGCAATATAATGCATTGAAGTCCCTTATTCCTCTCTAATAAAGTAATGTAAGGAAAAGCGTGTGTGCGTTCACTTTGACCCATCCAGTGCTTCTTCTGGACAAATTCGTGGGGGGGGGGGGGGGGTTTCAAAGCAAAGGGGAGTGCTTCTTCTGGACAAATTCGTGGGGGGGGGGGGCATTTCAAGCATAAGGGGAAGGGGGGGGGTGCAGTGCCTCTATCTGTGACAAAATTCGTCATAATTTCACCCACGTTATTTGTCTGAGTGAAGTTAAAGCAGTAAACATTTCCAAAAACAAAATCAGGAAATTGAAAGTATTTATTTGGAATTTAAAACTACTAAAACATTTTCATATATTAGCCTACCTAAATAACTAGGCTAATTAATGAATTTATGCCACCAAGTGTACAAATCTTTGCGTTACTTAATCAAAAAGTTTTTAACAAATTATTTTTCTTTTTAAATATAGTCTAAATTAGACTCTAATAATTTTTCTAAAACTAGTAACAAATAAAAACAACTCCTAAAAAGCTAAGTTTTCATATAAATCCTTCATAGGCATTTTTGTTTGCATGTATCAAATTGTAGGTGATTTATAATTTATTAAGAAGTGGCTATTTAAATGGGTAAAATTCTGTCAAAAACACGTTTCATATTTATTTCATTTTACTGTCAAAAATACATTTTATTTGTACAGCATATCCAAATACGCCACAAATACAACGCGCATAACAAAAGCTACACAATTAATCTCCACACCAAATCACTCAACCATTGAACAAATTATATTTCATTCATCTTACTCTTTAAAAAAAAAATGAAAACTGATTTATTTATTAATTTATTTATTTAAATTTGGAGTTGGGGTGGGGCTGGAGCTGAAATTTTGAAAGAATCTGACGTCATTGGCAACAGGTATATATGCCAAGTTTCAGTTCGATGACGGGAAGTGAATCAATTAGCCATCCAAAAATTTTGCCTTAAACACACGAACAAAAGCGAACTTAATATAAAGGATTGGATCTTAACAAACTGAACTGATTTAAAAATTGAAAAACTTCTGCAGAAAAACTTGGGAAGCAAGCTTCCAACTGCACTATGAACACAAATTAAATTGCCAGATCTTTTAAAATTCATAAACAATATGGTCAACTTGATTCACCTACCAGCGAGATGCCCCCTAGCAGCATATGGCCCCGTACGTTAAATATTACGCTAGAGACAGTGACTTTGACAATCTACACCATATGTATATTAAGTTAACCAGATTCTCTTGATGCCAAGTACGGAAACAAAGGCCTACATAGCATATGGGTAGACGGGAAAAGGTGTTGTGCATGATTTGTTTATAGTTTTCTGTAGGCCTACATCTTTTTGTTACAAACTATTGTGAGCACTTTGTAGACCCATTAATAGCAGCATAAAATTGAGGATATGTTAGATCAATGTTGCACTGAACAATCAAAATATCTCTCAGAGTGGTTAGTTTCACCTTCGATTTCTCAAGCGTCCAAACATTGTTTCCTGAGCGAAAGCTCCCTCCACAGGTGCAGTTGTGCCAAGAAGACTGAATGAAACCTCAAGCAGTAGTTGAAAATTTACAGATGATACATCCTTTGCTTTGAAATGTTGAAACATTGCACCCATTTTTGATCTACAGAAATCTTTTGTGAGTTCTATTCTTCAAGTTTAGCAGTTGACGCTATCAACAATTTTCCCATGGGAAGAGTTCATTTACACAAGTGACACTTCTCTCTACATTTTCCCAGGAAGGGAATACCTTCAAATTCATCTAAGAAAACATTTCAAAAGACTCAAAGTGAACAGCCCAACGCTGGAGATATGTTAAACATTTACCATAGAAGGCGAAAATTCCATTTTCTATCTCTCTTGCATTTATTTCACTTGCTTCTTCCAAAGCTCTCACTTTACCATGAATAATTATTGGAAGAAATTTCTGTTCTAACTTTTTCTGACATTTTAGCAGGAGACTCTTCAGTTCCTCAGTTACTTCAACAAATGTTGCAGTCTGACTTTAACATTTTTTTGACAGTTACCTGAAACATAGCAGCTTGATTGCGTAGGAAATACAACCAGAGTTATGATGATGATGATGATGATTGGATACTTTTGTAGCGCTTGTGTCCCTGCTATTTTAGCATGCTCACAGCGCTCTAATGTCCTAAAGATACAAAGTCTTTAAATGGTTCTTGAATGACGTTTTATCATTTTCTATTTCCCTCAAAGATTGGGGCAAACTGTTTCACAATTTAGGCGCAATAGCTTCAAAAAAGCGCACCCCGTTTGAATTCTTTATGTATCCATCCACAATGGGAACTCTCAATAAGGACTGTGTTGAAGAGCGCAAGTTGTGTATGAATACATGTTTAGAAATCAGTTTTTGAAGATATTCAGGTGCAGAGCCTTCTGTACAGCTTTTCTCCAGGAACAGGATTTTGTGGTCAATGCGCTCACCCACAGGAAGCCAGTGGAGATCTTCAAGAACTGGGTCGCTGTGGTCAGATTTCTTTATGCGCGGTACAATGCATGCTGCTGTATTTTGTACATTACGGAGTCTCTAAATTTGATTTTGAGGTAAACCTCCACAAACAACATTGTTATAGTAATCTTATCTTGATTTGTTTAAAGTGACTTCTACGGCAGTGGCCATTTTTAAGTTGAGTACGCAGCTGACCCAGCACGTGAAAATGACAGAGACTAGCCCTGGCCACAGAACTGATATTGATCGATTGATTGGATATTTATATTAGCACTGGTATATTAGAAAAAAGTTTTTAAATGTTTCTTAAATGATTTTTTTTTATCATTTTCAATTCCCCTCAAAGATTCAGGCAAATTGTTCCATAATTTTGGCGCTTTCACTTCAAAATAAGCACCCCGTAAGACTTTTTTCTGTGTTCATCCACACTGGGAACTCTCAGTAAGTACTGCATTGAAGACCGCAGGCTCTTCAAGGATACATGTGTGGCAGTGTGTGCCCCGTTATTTCGAAACAACCACTATTAGTACGAAAACCATGGTGGGCGCCCAACGTGGGGGTGTGACCTCGCCTAACACTAGATCGGAATGTTGACCTCAGGTATCTCTTTCACCCCAGTCCACACGGTCTCTGTACCGCCGGCTTCGCTCTCCCATAGGGGGTGGGGGGGGGGGGATACTTAAATACCAATACGCGTCCTTTAGTTAGGAATTTAATAATTTATTTCTCCGGAACCCTAGCGTATTAAGTTATAAATTATATCTAGTTGGAAAGTAGATTTTATTTACTATTCCGTAGAGCATATTTGCAAGATTGCATCGTTATAGGATATTTTAACATTTAGTCATTTAAAATTTAACATTTAAAGGGGTTTTCAACTTCATCCATAGCGGTGCCCACCCCTTCTATTTAAAATATCTCAAAAATATAAAATAGTATCTTAGATAGCTGAGACAAAACTGAACAGAACACACACAAGTCGTTATGGATTTGGTCAGAGATTTTAATTATCACTCGGGTGTAGTCCCCAGGGTTAGTCATTTTAGTCAAGGAAATTGGCCAGAAGGCAAAACATATAGACCGACTTTGTTTAGGTGTGACGGAGGGGCTCTCTCATATGTCCGTGCACGGCTTTATAAAGGGGTGCACACTAAGTAGGGGGGTCATTCCAGATTGGACAGCATCCCTGTATTGTGCCATTGTTCAGTGCGGCCCATTGGAACGCTCTAAATTGTCCTTTTCCTCAGGACCTTTTTCGTCCTTCTTTTCCTTTACCGGTACTTTAAGAGTATTAATAAAGCTATAGTCCTCGAGAAATCAGACTTTTGAAAAAGTAAATCAATTCAAATACCTAGGATCCTAATCCTAGGATGTTAGATGAAAGAAACGAATTACTAACAGAAATAAAAGAAAAAATATCTGCCGGAAACAGAGCGTATTTCAGTAGTCAGCAAAAACATTACAAGAGAAACAAAGAAAACCATTTATAAAATTAACTGTAATCAGACCAGTTGTAACATATGCAAGTGAAACTTGGACCCTAAGAAAAACAGCAGAAAACCTATTAAACACATGGGAGAGGAAATTTCTCAGGAAAATATATGGGCCAACAAAGGATGAATATGGATGGAGAATACGAACTAACCATGAATTATACAGTCTATATCAGGATCCCACGATAATAGCAGAAATAAAAAAAGGCAGGCTACGCTGGGCAGGACACCTAGAGAGAATGCCAAATGACAGAGGAACAAAGAGGGTACATCACCAATACCCCAGAGGAAAAAGGCTCAAAGGCAGACCTAGGCTTAGGTGGATAGATGATGTAGAAAAATATCTACAGCAGCTCAAAGTCCAAGCATGGAAAAGAAAGGCATTAGTTAGGTCTGGGTGGAAGGAAGTGGTGAGGCAGGCCAAAGCCCTACATGGGCTGTAGCGCCACAGGGATGGATGGATGGATAGTCCTCGATACCTGAATTTCTTCAATTTTTTAATGAGTAACTGTCAGTATCAGTCTTGGTACAAACAATCACCATCACGAACCTAACCCAAGAAACTCACACTACTACACATTTTTTATAAATAAGTTCTTTAAGATATTCCGGTGCTGGGCTATCTATAGGGACAGAATTTTGTAGTTAATGCGCTCACTCACAGGAACCCAATGGAGATCTCGTAGAACTGGGGTGATATGGTCATATTTCTTCATCCGCGATACAATGCGTGCTGCAGTATTTTGTACCTTTTGGAGTCTCTTAATTTGGTTCTGAGGTAATCCCCACAAACAACTGTTACAGTTATCTAATCTTGATTGGATTAGAGTTACACTCCAGCATTGGCTTTTCTCCTATTGAGTTGAGGACGCAGATGACCCAGGGCGCGCAGCTGACCCAGGGCGCGCAGCTGACCCAGGGCGCGCAGCTGACCCAGGGCACGCAGATGACAGAAGCATGCCTTGACAAAAGAACTGATATGGGGAATCATACTAAGTTTACTGTCAATACAAAAGCCAAGGTCTCTGACGGTCGAGGACAACGGGATCTCTGATTCACCAACTTTTATTGATGCGATTGAAATTTTCCGAAGATTGGCGTCTGAACCAAAAATAATTGCCTCAGTCTTATCGTTATTTAATTTTAGTCTGTTTCATGATATCCATTCTTTCACAACAAGACAGCAGTCCTTGACAGCCTGAACAGCAGTAGCACACTCCAACGGATCCGGGCGGAAACACTTGCATAGTTCTGCGTCCTCTGCAAATATTTTGCGGGAAATACCATGACTTTCAATAATTTTGCCAAGCTGGCTCATGTACATGGAGAACAGAATGGATCCTAAAACCGAGCCCTGTGGCACACCACAGGTAATGGAGGTGTCCATGGAAGATGCCTGCTTCACTACAATACGCCGAGTCCTGTCAGTCAGATAAGAAGAAAACAAGCGAAGTGAAGTTCCAGTGATGCCTGCCACATTCAGATGTCTTGACAGAAGAAGCTCATGGTCAATCACATCAAAAGCAGCACTGAGATCTAACGGGACCAATATTATCTGGGATCATAGTAAGTTTACTGTCAATGAAGAAGCCAAGGTCTCTAACAGTGTTGGAAAAGGGGATCTCAGAAGCATCAACTTTTATCGATGCGATAGCATCCTTCTGAAGTTGGGTTTTGCAGTTGAGCAGTACGCTCTAGAGACCCACATGCCTGTCAAAGTTTCAAAGATAATGACCAAGTAACAAGAAAGCCAGAGGTCGCCCTTCCCGCACAATACACAGGACAGGCTGCGCAGATAGTTTCACGTGGTGTTATGCAGGTGCAGCAGTAATGCTTAGGTTAAAGAGAAATGTTCCCCACAAAGGCGTTGAAACTATCTGTTGCGCTGGCCTTCGCGGAAAAATAAGTTAAGCCATATGGAAATAAGACAAGCAAGTCGTCGCTGCCAAAAGTACGGAAAAGCCGGACGACGAGTGGAAAGTAGGCCTATGGGCAAAAATTAAAACTTACAAAGGGGTCGAAAATACAATCAGTCCGTACTAAATATAGACGGTAACCCCATTTATGTTATGGCGGCATATGTAGAAGCGTTATCATTTGAGAATTACCGTATTTATTGGCGTATAACACGCACTTTTTCTCACTGAAAATAGGGGGCAAATGATGTGGGCGTATTATACCCCGATATAATGTTAATTTTTTTTTCCCCTGAAATTTCCTTCTTAAATTGAGGTGCGTGTGATACGCGGGGGCGTGTTATACGCCAATAAATACGGTATGTGCTTTTAATCATTAAAAATAAATAAATAATTATGTAGGCATGTAAGTCTACTGACTAGTGAGACTACTCTGAGCATTGTACTACTCATTGTAGGCCTAAATAGTTTAATATTTTGAATTTAGTGTTTATTTTATTTGATAGATATAAATATAATGAATGACATGCGGCCCGTGAAGAGTTGACTAGTGAGGTCATTTGGTTGGGGACAACTCTCTTTTAAAAGATTTAAAAAAAAAATAAATAAGGAAAAACGAACTACTAAAATTCTTTGGTGGAAATAACAGTTTTATCAAGTGCATTGTTTTTTCCGTTGGTTTGGTCGTTATTTTAGGTTTTTAACTCCCAAATCTCGCTCTCGCTACAAGTTGAGCTCTCGCCGATATCTACTTCCTTAGTAACTATCCAAATAATAACATTTCTGTTTATTTCATCGGTATTTTGTGCCTTGCCATAAATGGAGTCCTTTAAACAGGCTTGAGAGATTTAAATAATAAATAATTACCTTATTATTTAAGCTTAAAGATAACAAGCTAATAACCAAATTATTCTGAAAATGATGGTATCACGCCATATTCCGCGAACCAGAGAATATAGGGGAATTCAACCCAGTTCGGTGGCAATTGTGAGTGTAAAGTGTAATTGTAATGATTTAGATTGAGTGTCAAGTCTGAGTAGGAAGTCTCAGTCTAGGCAAATAAGTTTAAGACTTAGCCAAATTAATAAAAAAATTATTAAATCAAAATAATAATAGAAAAAGTGACTTGAACTTGAAGAAATTAATTACTTACTTAACTTACACTTACATATAATATACTTATGGCTTATACTTACATTTACATTACTACATAATTAAACTTTTAGTTAAACTTAAATAATTAATAATTATAATTATCGATGCGATAGCATCCTTCTGAAGTTGGGTTTTGCAGTTGAGCAGTACGCTCTAGAGACCCACATCAACTTAAATAATTAATAATTATAATTTTCTAATGATCAGGGCTTTCATTTCATAATGAAAAATTTTGTATTACTCCTACTTCAGATTTAAATTATAAATTTTATAATTAATTGTTGAGTTACACTGGAAACCTTAATATTTAAATACTACATTTAGCCTGCCTACAATGCTGATATAATGCTTCATTTTTTAAACAATAGATTGCCCTGGCCCAAGCCCTATGACAATACCTGTACAATTTACAGTACTATTTATTTTCTTTCTCATTGAAACATTGCCTTTGTATGACAATAAGTTTTAGTGATTAGTCTGATTAGAGTTAATTCATGCTTGCAGTGGGACTAAATCAAGCAATAAACTAAAAATTATATATGGCTAAAGTTAAGGATGAATGCCACAGCGTCTTTTGCGTGTTTACTGAATTAGGGTTCAGGTTAGGTTTAGGGATACATTTAATTAGATTTAGTGACAGAATTAACTGGTCTTGTTAACCAAGATGGCGGACATTGAAAAAAAAAACATGGAATTTCTTCTTTAAATTTACCTTATGCCTTATATATAATTGTCTCTCAGAGTAATTCACTACACTCTCACTAGTTTTTGTTAAATTAATGGCTATCCACTAATTCAAACTAATTAATCAAAGTTAACTATTAGTTATAGTTGCAATCTTGAAGTTAAACCTTTTTTATTTTCTGGTATATTTTAGTTTTTTTTAACAAAGTGTCTACATGTCCGGCGCGCCGGACAAATAGTGCGCGAGATATACGTCCGGCGACATGTCACGTGACCGCCGGACGACTAGTAGTCGTTATTATTCCCAACGAAGAGACAATTGGCAGATCTTGTGTGGTCTTGTGGTAGAATGATTGCTTGACATTATTATATTTGAGGATCAATTCCTGGTATGGGATTGTTTTTTTTCCCCCATTTTAATTAAAAATATTTTATATTATATTTCTATTATCATGTTCATCAGCAACAGTAGTTTCATGAGAGTTTTTAAATATTTTGTTGCAATTTAAACAATTTAAGATGAAATCTTTTACTTTTATTGGTTGCCTACTCCACACTGGCCCCTAATTTATTTTATGGATTACTGGTACACAAACTCAAATAACAAACTAAACAAAAATGTTTACAAGCCACTTAGCTTAATTTTTTTCTATTATTTGCATTCAAGATACTCAGTACATTAATTGTAGAGAAATAGATTTTAAAATTAACAATAGTTTTGAATCATTCGCGTTCACGCCACAAGGCTCACGGACAAGATATCTCTCGCCACTTTGTTACGGCGGTCATGTGACTTGGTCACCGGACAAATAGTGCGGGAGATATACGTCCGGTTGCCGGACGTGTAGACACTGCCTTTTTTTAAATTCAATAAATCTTAATTGTTTTAAAACTTCTTTTATTTATACTGTATATTCTTGTGAAGATGGTGTCTTTTTTTGCCCAAAGCCACAAATACACAAACTGTATTTGTACTACTCACAAAATATAGCTCCATTCATATCTTTGGTTGTTTATGGAAGTACCTGGTATTTGTTATTTTTATGTAGAGCTCTTCAGTCTTTTAGAGATTCTCCACAGATGTCAATATCCGAATGACTAGTACTAGTAATCAATCCTGATTAATTTGTTTACATTCTTTAATTGAGTTTACTTCAAGGAGTAAAAATATTTTTAGTAACAGACTCCCTTTTATATCTGATGAATATTTAAAGATATCTGATTGCAATTAAACCTTTTTATCAGGTAGCTCTGCAAGATATTTGATATTTCTATTTCAAGGAAGAGCTAATGGATTACTCATAAAAATTATTACATTCAAATTACTAGTCAATTCCCCTAGAAATCCAACAACTATACGTAGCCTGGTAGGCCACGCAGCACCTAATGCGGTGTGTAATTTGACCTCGAGGTTAGGCGGTATCATAACAGCTTGAGGGGAATAGGTCTCTTACTAATCGCAAAGAATACTTAAATATGGGAAACAACTATGTGTGCTTTTGGTTCAAGTTCAATTATTTATTTCTCGGGGACCCTAGTGTATTAAGTTATAAATTATATCTAGTCGGAAAGGGGAGTTTATTTCCTATAACTTGGTATATTTAAAAGTCTACAACTTTATTGGGTATTGTAGTATTCAGCAATTACTGGAGCTTTCACCTTCATCCATAGTGGTCCCCACCCTTTATATTTAAAATATCTCAAAAACTATTTAACCCACAGACATATAATATGGTATCTTAGATAGCCGAAACTAAGCTGAAAAGGACACATTTAAGTCTTTAGGGGGTTTGGTCCGGAATTTTACTTTTATTTGGGTTGGAGTCGCTAGGGGATTGTTAATTTACCACAGGCTTTGTGCCAGACCGCGAGTTAGGGACTGTCTTAGTTGTCGCGGGACATAGATGCTCTCTGATATGTCCGCGTGCCTCAAATAAGTTTTCTATTCGAAGCTTTAATGCATCACTAAAGTACGCCTTGTTTTCTGCGGCCCATAAGGACGCTCTATATTGTCCTTTTCCTTTAGCTTTTTTCATAGCACTTTTCATTTAGCTGTTTTCTTAGCACTTTCCTTTAGAGTTTAATAAAGCTATAGTCCTCGAGACCTGAATTCCTTCATTGTTTATTAGTAGTAAAACTGGCAGCCCTCGTTCACTACCAACCATTACCCCACACTACTACAGTTTTTGGCACTGTGAGCAGGGTTTTAAAAGTGTGTCACACACACGTACACCACCCTCCAGTAACCATCACCAAACACCCACCCTGCTAGAGTTTTTGGCGCCACGAGCAGGATTGTTAAAAATGTGTCACACACACCTACACCACTCTCCAGCCGCCATACCTCATTGACTCATATGGCTACATATAAAAAAAAACACCACTCAAGTCAAGTTAAATAAAAGGGGGTAAAAAGACAAAAATTACTAAATAAATGTCATACAACCCTTACATTATTGTCTTACATTATTGTGCAATCTACCTACAGTATCTTTTAAGGTCTGACAAGGAGATAACTTACAATTGTTAAAATATTATCAGTGGTAAAAACCATTTTAGTTTTATATCCATTTTCAGGAAATTGAAAATATTAAAAATAATCTCCTAATAGATCATTGGCTGAATTATAATATTATTGGAATTCTTTTTGTATACTGAAGTTCCATATTTTTAAATGTCATACAAATTATTTTAGAGAACCATAAAGGGACCTGCTGTCTTTAAACATTCAGAAATATTTGACTAACATATTAAGATAATGGTTGCACTGGCTATTATCATGGGTATACAATGCCCATGCCATGGGAAATTGGCATACAAATCTCAGAAAAACAGCTCTGACCCGTGTCAGAAAATCCATGTGAAATCTAGATAGGTATTTTACATGTTGTGACCATCTTTGCATAATTGTGCAAAATTTTCAATTAATATATCGCAGTAAATATGCCTGGAAAGACCAAATGTCCTCAGATTTTTTTCTTTTCTAATCATCGGTCATGTTTGTTTGGAAACAACCTCTTTTCTCAGCAAAAAAAAAATCCTCACCTTTTTTTATATTAATCAGCTGACCCCAATACACAGTGTGGTATGTACCACAAATTTAATAACGTGTATAACTATAAGGTAATAATATATTTATTTTATGCAATAACTTAATAAAACCTTTTCAAAGAGTGTTTGGTTATATGAAACACCCCCAGTCCCAAATATTATTTGCAAAATTGACACTCTACTCTAACTGGTAATCTGGCTAATTTGGTAAAGTTATCAGAATGAGCCCTTTTTTAAAGATGAATTGGATAATCTGGCCTAAGAAAATCTTTCTAGATATATGTTGTAAATCTAGTTGATTTAATATAATCTTGATTGCTTTTCTGAAATTTTATCATTTTTACAAAATTAGTTATGTGTTCTAGACTAAAAGTATCATCATTGTTTAGAGGTAATTTGACCAGCTGATTCTGAAGATGGCACTAGTTTTCTCTTAACAGCTCTAGTTAGGGAGATATTGAACACATGCCATTTTTAAGCATAAAGCATTATATTAATTATTTATTGAAAATATTCTGATTTTATACCAAAAGACTAATGGAGACTATATTTTGATTCTAAACAAATAAAGCCTTTCATTAGACTTCATTAGGTAGGATCTTTTTGGACAATCTTGAATTAGGTTCCAACAAAAGTCTTGATCATACACGCATTTTATTTTATCTGCTTTGATATCTGGCTGCCGTTCCATGTATATGTCATGGTGAAATCGTTCACTTCACTCTTCGCTAAGGGTTCTCAGGACACCAATCTAATTTATTGCAATTGAGTTTTTTTCACAAGAATAAGTTAAGACTGGGAAGAGGATTCAATTTCATTCATTGGTTTTATGAACGTTGAGTTCTTTATGCGTTTTCTAATCTGTGGACCTCCAAAACTCCAGTTTTCAGTTTCTCTGTTATTAGTTCATATTTGATGTGCATCAAATGCTTGATTCAAAGCATGTACAATCTGTTTTATAAAACAGGTTTTGTTTTATATACATTTTCAGTAGAACGACTACATCTTGTGTTACTAAAGCTTCAATGATAACATTTTTCTCCGACCACCATATTTCTCTGAAGACCAATCTTTTCTTGCCAGATTTTCATGTTTGACTCTACTATCCCAAAAGACATGAAATGAAGGATACTCGTGGAGCTAGTTTGTAAACTAGGTGAAAGAAAATCATTTTCAGCCTCCACAAATAACACCAAAGATCATTGTTTTAAAATAGTAATTTATCTTTTCAAAGACTAAAGAAATGTATTCTGTTTTCATCCAGTGGATTGATAGATTGGAAAAAGAACCCTATTTATTGCCAATTATTAAAAAATACATTCCAAACATTTTGACAGTCGATTAAAAGCTGCCATACACATGATTTATATTATAAAAGACAAAATTTTATTCATAAGATTTCAGATGTCAATAAACATAATAAGATCTTGTCCTCATTAAAAAAAAAGGCAGCATATCCTTCTATCCCCTTAGATGAAAGGTAATGTTTGTTCCAAACTGCGGTAATTGCTTTTCTCCAAATCTGGAGGCAAACATTTGCCAACTTGGGCAATCACTCAGTAAAAGTTTTGTATACAATATGCGGAGCACATCGCATCTCTTATCTCTATCTCTAATCTTGGCACCAAAAGACCCAATAATGTTCTTTTTTTCCAGCTCAGTACAGATTTTCTACATGTTGAAAATAAAATTTTTATGCAACTGTTTTAATAAATCAGGATGGGAAGATTTAGTTATGAAAATTTATGTAATCTCATGAGATCACAATTTGACATGTAAATATTTGCACATAATTAGTAAATAAAGCAGAACAAAGTTGATTTTGTCCCTTGAACTTATCAATTTAATAGCAACGTTTATTATTAAAAGGAAGTAGACAAATGTTGGCATTTTAAATACATTTATTTTCCATTTAAATAATACTTTGTAAGATATCCCGGTTGTGCAAAATCGACCTTGTATGGCTTATATAGAGAAAACTAAATAAAACCAACTATATCTTAAAATCTAGAGTTGTTACGATAAATCGGTTGTGTTTTTGGAGTCAGCACTCCTAATAACACTAGGAACAAACCTAAAATTGAAGGCACCAAGAAAAAAGGTGTTTTTTTTGTTGGCCTATGTGATTTTCTTCGGGACGGGATGTGGTGCAGAAAATGTTTTGAAACTGACAGGGGGTGCAGTGCTGCCAAAAACTGCATTAAAGCTCTACTTGCATTAAATGTCACATGTTTTTGTTTTTTTTTATTATTTTTTTTTTTTATCACAGGCTTAGATTGTTAAAATATTACTTTGATAGCTCACATTTTTGGTGATTGCATTTAATCTCTTTGCAATGAATTTAAATAGATATGTTGTGCTTTGAAAGAATCAAAATTTTGTGCAAAAGGGGGGGGGGGTAGTTAGGGGATTTGGAGATGCATAAAAAAACAAATTTAAAGAAAATGTGTGCTTTATGACAACTTCTCCACACTTGTACAATACAATTATATTTACCAGGTCTATTAATTGGTTACAAACTGATTTTCTTATCAGTGCAACCCAAAATTGATATTAACATACTTGGTATTTATAATTTAAATTTGTTAAGTAAATAATGGTTTTAAAAAATAATTTACAATCTGTGGAGTAAATAAAATTTACTTATAATATAATGGTTACATTTTTCCAGAAAGCAAAAATGCCCTCAAAGAGGGCTCCAGATTATCAACTCATTAAAAACAGAGAAATAGAAGCACGATTAAATGACATAGAGCATCAGGTGAAAGAACAAAAATCACGAGATCTCCGAACAGATTTTGAAGCTAGTGCAGAAAAGCGATTGTTGAATGCAAATATTAAAAATCGTGTAAAAACTCTTTGCCAAGCAGCTGAATTCAACTTAGAATGCAGAAGAGAGAAGTAAGTGTTCTTTTAATCATTTTCATTGTAATTTAATAAGCCATAGAATTTAGAAGGTCAGTAACTATAGATATTATCATTGTCAAGTTTTAAAGTGCTCTTAAAAAAACATTTTTTAACTAAGTTTTGTTTTCTATTCAATTCAAAGAATTGCCTATATTAAAAAAAAATGGAAAATTTTTAATTTCTGAAATAGGGGTAATTGAAATATGTATCATTAAACTTTGATCCTGGTTTCTATTAATTTATAAAAGTTGGTATTCATGCAAATGCAAATGCAAAAAAAAAAAAAAAATGTAGTCTAGTAATATTTTGGGCTTTGGAATAGAAATATTGGAATTACTTTTTTCTTTTAAAAAAATCACAACTAAACTCAAGGTTTTTGTTATAATTGTTAATTTATCAAAATATTAGTCCTATATTTTATGGCTATTCATTATTAAAGTGTATGAGAAAGATTCAACACTTTTTACATTTTTACAATATTGACAAAAAAAATTTTGTTATCAACTTATTTAACAGATTACGAAACTTATTTGAAAGTGAAGAAGCTTGTTATCTAAAAGAGATAGACGAAAAACAGGAAACTGTCCTTGAAAGGCAGGCTAAGATGAGGGTGAGAGCAAAGTTTCTAAAAGACAAGCGTGAGGCAGAACGATTGGCATATGTCCAGGAGAAATATGATCAACAATTCAAGTAAGTGATTAGTTTTTGAGTGGAATAATTTATTCATTGCATGTTCTTAAACATTGGAAAATAGCCTGTTCCTCTCTTAACACATCGTCTACTCTGCCATAGAGTATAGAGTATTGTTTCCGGTACTATAAAAAGTGTTTCCTTTCTTTGATAATCTTATGACCACACATTTTCACTAGTCACTGTGGGCACATTTTAATTAAAAAATGGCAATGACAGTCTCTCAACATTCCCAGTATCATATCCCTAGCCATTTTTAATCTTTCTGATGCTACCTAGTCAAATCCTGATGCCTCATTATATTAGAATATGTGGGTTTAAGATCACCATATTTTTATACTGTTAATCAAATTATATTTACCATATAAATATTTACATTAAAATTTTATGACAGCTCAATAAAAATCCAATAATTAAATTCAAAAACTTTTAGAGCACAGTGTGAAGAATTAAGGTCTACCTTGTCAAAGAGACATCAAGATCAAGTTTGCCTTGATAGACTAGAACAGCTGCGGTTGAAGGATGAGACAGCTAAAGAGGAGAAGGCTTTAGAGGATATGTATGCCAAGTTATGGGAACAAGACATGCTGGAGAAAGCTGCGCGAGAAGAGAGAGAAGCCAAGGATCTACATGAGAGGAATCGAGGTGTTGTTGATGTTCTGAAAAGACAGATGGCAGCACTAGAAGCTCAGAAAGAAGAATCAAGACGTCTGAAAGATGAAGAGGCTCAGCTCTTGGTAAATTTTCAGTTCATTCTTAATATCTAAAACTGTTAGATAATCTACTTGTGTATTTATCTATCATTAATTTCTGAAGGTTCATGTACTAATTGTGTCATGGAAATAAACTTAATTTACTATTAAAAAAATTAACTAATATAATTGCATTTAGCCCCAAGAAAAAAAAATACCAATAATTATAGCATGCCAATCATGGAAGATATCAGGTTTCCTTAAGATTTAAAACATACTTATTCATTTACTAATTACTTCTTTACTTAAGTGGCTCTTGGTGGTGCAAAGCACATTCACAAAACTTTCCATTAATCTCTGTTTTGAGCAAATTATTTCCAGCTCATTCCACTTCTTGTCACTTCTTTCACTCTCAAGGTCCATTCTCCATGCATTGTCTTGTTTTCCTCTCATTCTAGTACACAGTGGATTCCATAACAGAGACTTTCAATTAATATTTTAATATTAATTTCATAAGTGTGTGGCCATTCCACCTCTATTTCCTTCTCCTCATCTTTTTTCCATATGATATGATTTTTTTTTACCTTTTAAACCATTTTATTTTCAGGGTCTTTCACAAACACCTTTTGACTAACCCATGTTATTTCTTGGTATTGGGTTTTGTTCTTTTCAATGCTTTAAACCCATAGAGAAGAACAGACTTAAAATTTGAAATGATTTTTGTCAGGTTTTAAAAAAACATGATTTCAATGCATTTCCATATATTGTGCCACTAATTGATTGGATTTGTAAACATCCTCTGCCAAGTAATTTTACAAAAATAATAATTACTTGAACGCTATTCAAACAGAAGGAACAAAAGGCATTGTGGAAGATGGAGGATGAAGTTGCTCATCAGGAAAAGCTTCGCAAACAAAAAGAAACCAGGGATATGTTGGACCATTCAATGGCCTTCAAGGCAAGAAAAAAAGCCAAAGATGCTCAAGAAGAATTGGCTTTTGACTTGAAAATGCTTGAACAGTTGTTAGAAGAGTCTCGTAATGAAGCTTATGAGACAATACAACGAAAGGTGAATATTATTTAGATGATTCAGATATCATCAATTCAATTATTTGTCTGGATAAAGTATTTAACATTTTCATTTTATAACAATATGAAAATAAAACATCATGGTGGATGAAATAAAAGATGTTGATCACTTTCTAGAATTTTATTACTATTTAATTTTTAGTATCCAATACTTTATAAAGATAATATCCACTTTCATTTTTTTAAACATCAAAAGTATATTTTATTCTTATTATTGACATAATTACAATTAAATACCACTTTTTAAATGCTGATTAATATAATAATATTTAATACAAGCACATTTTCTTAAAATGATTGTATGGTTTTAATTATTTTTTCAAACTTTTTAGAAAGAGCTCAGGGAAGAAGATCGTCGCTTCAGGGAATATCTGAGACAGTTGATGGAGGAAGAGAAGGCACGAGAAAAGGAGCTGGAGAAGATGATTCAGCTTGAAGTTGAGGCAGCATGGGAAAAAAGAATCGACCAATGGCGTAAGGAAAGACAGGCCAGAAAATTGCTTCTTGATGATGTTGTTGCAGGAAGAGCCAAACAAATCCAGGAAAGATGTAAGTGAAAAAGCCATTTGGTTTTCAGAATAATTTCACTATGAAAGAGATGTAATTTTGTTTTTTTAAATTTAACAACTGAATGCAAATTTTAATTGTCATAAACCACAATAAATATCAAGAACTTAAGGCTTAACAGCAATAAAATACTTTCTATTTACTTAAACAAATGAGGAGAAAAAATATAATTATAGATTAATTAAAATCTTATGTTAATATAAATCTTGGAGTGTAAGATATCTAAATCAAAAGCTGTCTATTAATATTAAAATATTGGCTGTGAATTTTTAAATATTTATATTTGGGAAACTTACACAGTGCAAGAAAATGAGCGTCGGCAGCTTGAAGCTGCTCGTGAGAGAGAAGAACTCCAGCGCAACATTGCAGAAAATCAGAGATATGAAGCTGAACAGGCTGCGAAACGCTGGCAGAGCAATGTGAATTACCAGAGTGATCTTGTTAATCAGATGGCATACAATAGCAGAAATCGTGAAGATGAGCGGGCCCGTGAATTGGATGAGTTCTTGAAAGCCCAGCAGGCAGAGAGAGAGTTTCAGACAAGAATAAAGCAAGTTCTTGACAACCCATCAGTAGAAAAACTTCATCCCATGAGGAGAGCAATGTTGAACAATGTTTTATGTCAATAACATTTTTCAAAGGGTTATTATTCACACTAATACTTAATATTTCAATAATGAATTTTTCTGCTAAACTATAACTGCAGTGCAAAAATTATTAAAAGGCACAATGTTTATTTAAATCTCAAGACTTAAGTATTTCATTAAAATTTCAAATAAGAATTCCCAATTAAATATATTTAAGTCACTATTTCTATACATAGCAGTTTGTGATATCATCTTGTGTATTTAACAACTGGCACCATATTTTAACTAAACTTATTGGTTTAATTTTTTACTTTTCATATTAAATTTGCTCTCAGGATTGTAATGAGATCCATCACATGTAAAGAAATTCAACTTTTTCTAATTGGATTCAAATTTTTAAGCATATTTAGTTAATTACTAATTATTTTAATTGCAAGATTTTGTCTGCTTTCTTTATCAAAGTGACAATGCTTATTATGTTTTCTAATAATATTTAATGTCATGATGAGCTATTGGCATCTCCACATCTGTGATAATGTGTATATAGGTGTAACGAACACAAAATGTGAGATGACGGGAAAGTTACTTTCCTAGATAATATTCTTCTGAAATTTCAACTATCAAATATAATGTGATGTTCAGCAGATGGTAATTTATAATCTTCAGTGATTTTCTCTTTCACAAAATGTTAGCAATGTCTTTACATAAATAAAAGCTGGTTCACACAAACAAAGTTTTTATTTATAATTTAGCCTACTTGTTGTAATGAGTATTATATTTTGTTTACTAAAAATCAAAGCCAGTAAAGTTAAACTTTATTTGATTTTGTTTTTTGTAATTGTCCATAATAAATTGTAAATATGCATAACCCCTGAAATTAAGCATCTGCCCTTATAATTAGAAGCTACTATTTATGTAGTAACGGAAGTGCATAAATAAATACTAAAACAAATGTTAAATATCAGAGAAAAATATTTTACTCTTAGCAAGATTCATAACCAAAATCAAGTGGAGTTTGTCATGGAAGCCATGATGTCTTAGCTGACTGCAACTGAATATAAATCAGTAATAGTGCTTACCTAGCAAAAATTTACCTCATAAAGTAACAATTTCTTATTGTTCTTACTTATAATTCAAAGTATCATCCTAAACTCTTTCCTGCTCATCTGTGTTTTTTTTTCCTTCAACTACTGGAGCATGAAAATGACTTCAAATTTGTGCTAATGTTCACTATCAGTAGTGAATTCTAGGTAAAATCCTTCTGAAAAATACTACCTGTACCCTGTAAGCCATTATAATCATGTCATGTCTCAAGAACTATCAGCCAACAATTTTTTTCCAATTAAGGGAAATAAAGTCCACTTGGTGTATTTATTTTTGTTCTTTGAAGTTGTTCCAGATAAAAAGTTGCCATATTTAATAAATATCTCAGTTGAGGAGAATCAACAGTGAAAAAAATTGTAAGCACATTTTATCATTTTTAAGTTAAGACTATTTAATAGTTTTTTAAAATAATTTTCAAAATTTCTTGTTTCACCAGGATGCTCATACACCTTTTTAATATGAAGTTTGCTGATGTTAGCCTATAGTGTATTCAATTAAAATAAACATCACACAAAATAAGTTATTTCATCCAGTGGCTTTTCATTAATGATTTTTGTAATGTTTAATTAAAAATGTGCATCGTCAAGGGTCTATATATATTCAAAATACAATAGTTCATATTTGTAGAGCCAATTAAAATAACCAAGATTCTATCTATACTTGAACTCTATCAGAGCTTTAGTCTAAAAATTCAAATAGATAATGCATCTTTATCATCAAAGACAGAATAACCTAGTGAAATTTATCAATGAATTATAACTTATCATTAAATATGAGGATTTTCTAAATATTTTATGATATTGGATTGAATTAAATTGACAAGCTTTAATTGTAATAATAATAATAATAATAAAGTTTATTTGAAAATCACGCTTCATCCCGAAAGGCTAGAGGCACAGTACAAAGTCAACCATATTAAAAGAGAAATGAAAAAAATCTATATTATACCACATTGAAATACAAAACGCAACATTACAAAAACTACATACGAGAATACCCATTCTAATTCTTTCATCCGTTACAAACATAAACAACGCAGGCCAATATACATCTAGGAGATAATAGCCAGCTGGAAAAGATGGTAGACAACACCACCCCAGCAGGTGTTTGCAAAATAGATGTGTTTTCAATTCAGTTTTGAAAGACTCCAGTGTCTGACTGTTTCTGAGAGCATCAGGAAGTGTGTTCCAAATTGTAGGCAGATACCTAAGATGCTAATGAACTTGATTTATATTATGTAATACTAGTGCGCAGAGGTGAAGTTGGCTGATAAAAATTAGGCTGTTCACTTTTTATAAAAATCATAATGCCTATACTTGATATTTATTCACTAACTTATTTATTTTTTAGTTTATATTGGTCTTGAGACAGTTTCCATCACAGCTATAAATGTCTGTTTACAGCAAATTCTGAATGATAGGCCACTATAACCAAACATCATCATCATTTTTTTTTCAACATTGTGAACTAAGTTCAACCGACCGACACATCCACATATTGTTTGTATTTTAAGTTGAAAAAAATCAGTACCTTTGCTTTAAGCTACTGATAAGCAGAGCTCATCATCATCTCTCATATATGTGTGAAAAACAAAAACAGTTGGCTTGTATCAACCTGATTTACAGCGCCCGATGGAAGGTTAATTTTGGAAATTTGCTTGGACTTGGGCATAGATAGATGAACTTTTGATTTGCTCAGACAGTTAAGTTTAAAAAAAGATATTGAATGAAATAACTGCATTAAACATTTCAATTAGTACATATAAAAGTATGAATTTTAAATTATTAAATCAAGAAGTGACAGCCCCCACCCCTCATATTTTTTAGTGTTGAAGCTGAAATTGAATAGATACCATTTTAAGACATAATTAAATAGCTAACTCTGAACCCTTAGGATTGCTCAAGGTACATACCCTTGTTTGAAATGAAATCCACATTTTTTCTAACAAGACAATTTTAATATTTCAATAAAAGATTCAGGTAATGACCATTTCCCACTATAGATGCTCATAACAACCAGGCAATGCCACAATAAATGCCATCTAAAATTACACAATTTTAAAAAAATGTTTTCTCTTTTTCAGGTGAAAGCTCAGTCTAAAAAGAAAGGAAGCCTTCAGGCAAATAATATTGTATAATGTCAAGGTATATACAAAATATCATTACCGTAGTGAGGATAACCAAGTGAGTCATCAATTTATGGTCTACTTCTTGTGTGAAAAAAGATTAATATCAAGCAGTTGTCCTATTTGTATTCAGACTTATGCTTATTTTGTATATAATGTAATTTTTTGTAATATTTCGCGGTGCCCCTGCAAGAAGGCTGCTGCTGCTCACCATGTTTCAAAGCAGCTGCACAGTTTGGAAACCACTGATCTAGGCCAAACAGACAGCAGAGAAAACCAGTGACAAATTTTAAGGCAGTGTATGCTGAATACGTTTCATTGCTCTGTGCATGGCAATTTTCAAAAGAAAATTTGATGCAGATGTTTAGGGTGATGGGAGATGGAGGATATAATTTGTATGTGAGCAGCAGGCCAATAATATACAGGTACAACAAGAAAGGGGTGAGAAGTATAAAAATGTGAATTTTTTTTGCATTGATAATAAGGGGATTGAACTTCAAAATAAGGAAAACTATTGTGACTGACAGAAATCTTGAAACTGGGCATTTCAAAATTATTTACAATGTTTGGATCAACTTGCCTTTGGGAATCAGCATTCGCTAGAATGAGATCATTAAATCCAAATTCAGAACCCACATTGTTGATGTGAATATTTAAAATAATTTAATCTAAATTTGTGCAGCTTGTTAATGAATGTTAATGACAAGGAATGTCAAATTTTACATTAAAGTTTGGTTAAAATATTATCAAAAAGTTTATTTCTTGATTTCTTTATTTAATAGCAGAATTTTGAGACTTCTACATGGTTTGGTGAGTTTACTTTTCTGTCAGGGCTTGGTGTACAATCGTAAAAGACATCTCAAAATCATACATTGTATGCCAAAATTACAAGAGTAAACAGGTCTGTTGAAGCGACCTTTGTATCCAATCACCATTTCATATTATATGCTGATATTTTCATATGGATAAAAACACTTCCTAAACTGATCCAGCAGCTTCGACACAAAGGGCTCAATCCTAGCTGCTCCTTGTGTATCAGGCTCAGGAGCATACATGATCGTATGAAAAAGTAGCTGAAATTCATCTCTTGAAAACATTTGTCCATACCATTGTGTGTGTTCATGGCATTAAGTAGACCAATAGTCACTGATTCTGAACCTTTGGTTCATTCCAATATTTATCAGAACAACCGGGAACTTCAAAAGATCAGGGCATGTTACAGTCTTCCATTCATGAAGACATGTGTGTTTTAAAAGGATGCTAGTTTTCTGCATCACTACTTAATTGTAGGAATTTATTAAAGACAGCAAATCATCAATAATTTCATATGTAATTATTTGTTTTAAACAAATGATATGGAGTGTCATTTTCTGGCAAATTCAGATGTGACCCAGTGTTAACCTCCCTAAATTGAAATAAAGCACCAACCAACCTCTTCACCCTCACCTTCCTCCATCCATTATTATTTGACTGACCACCTCTGTCACCATCATAGCTAACAGTAGCAGCTATGTTTCTTGCTGATGCTATTCTTCCTGCATCTTTTCTGCCTGATCTCTGATTTCTCTTTGCAGGAAAAGGAGTATTTATTAGAGAATCCTAAATGTCACCACTATTATTATCACCTCCTCTATTTCCATCTACCGACCCATCAGTATCAGAAAACTGAAAAGATTACTTGTTATTGTCCAATGTTTCAGCATGGATAATTCACATTAAAAGCTCTTGTGCTTGCAAACTTGTCAACCTACATGGTCTGGCAACACCTGATGTACTTGGAGTAGGCAGGACCATTGCTTTGTTTGCAAAAGTTTCAAGACAAATAGAAAAAAGTGGCACTTATTAGAAAAACAGATGTAAAAAAAACTTACTTCTAACAGGAAGGAAGCAGGAAGAGTTCTCCTTCGTTTGAGAACATAAAACGTTGGATTGATGGCGGCAGGCAACAAAATAACCTACAGAAATTGTTTTGATGACATATATATCATCGATTGGCACGGAAAGAGTTAAAGTAGAAAACCCTTACATAAAAACCCAGAAGCTACATATGTTATTTTATCATTGTATCTTTGGATTAAATAACATATCTTTGAGGGATTGCTGTCAAATAGGTTATTATGTTTCTTGTCAATGATGTGATCTCTTTTAAGCAAGTACCTTTGCACTTATAATGAATAGAATATTTATAAATGCAATAAAATCCTGAAAATCTGGGCAGTTCTAAGATTAGGTTGATCTGAATTTGTAGATAATTTAATTAAATGAGCATTGGTTAGATTAAATTTAAGACCATCTCATTTCTTGGCTTATTAGATTTTATTTTATTTCAGTTACTGATAAGTGATGTTTCACCATTAAAAATGAAGAAAAAAATAAGTTTAAAAAAAATGCTATACAATGTTTATTTCAATCAATTTTAGGTACAAATGTAATTTGGAGTAGGCAAATCATTTGCACACATTTGTTCCAACAAATAGGTATTAATTAAACTGGTAGGCCTACATTTATTATTGATAAAATAACCACTGTATAAAGCATATGCTTGTATAAAAATTGTAAACATTCTTTAAAAAAAAAACACCATTTTATGAGTTTTGAAATCATTATAGTATATCCATTAGTTCTCTAAGTCCTTGAAATGATATTTCGGCATTAAAATATAATGAACAAACATTTAAATAAAAATCCTAAAATGTTAAAACAAAGCAAGTTCATTTGGAACCATCATTTTTTAAATAAATAAGTGTAGACTAAACTGTAGCTTTTAAAATAATCTGGCATCATAGAAACTGTGAATGGCAATAAAATAATAAAGCCAATTCATATTTTCTTCAAAATTTACAAAAATTCTTAGTTAAAAAAATTATTGAAAATTAGTGCACATCATTAATTATAAAGGAATTTGAAAAAGAAAAAAAGTTATAAAAAATAGCTTTAAAAAATTGATAAATTTATTTAACATATTAAAGAAAAGTCATTCCAGATTCCTTGTATGTCAATGGAATTTAATTTGAGTACTTTTTATTATCATAGAACTTTAAATGGACCTTAAGTGTTTTTATTTCATTAAACAAAGTAATCTGATCTTATATGAGAATAATAATTTAAAATATTATAATCTCAAATAATAATATAAAATGTTGTATGAATAACAATTTAGCTTATAGAAGTAATTTAAAATGCTGTGATTATCAAACATTAGTTTTTGCTTAATGACTGAATAATTCATAACCTAACTTCATTATAATTTATCTTTTATGTTAAAGGAAGCAATCTTGGCATAACAGAGAGGACTAAGCAGAGAATCACAGTTTTGCTTACAAATTAAGTTTCTAAAATTGTAGCTAATAATAGATGATGAGTTTTAAGATTTATTGGGTGCATATTGTTCCACTCTTTCAAGCAAAGCATCAGAGTAGCCAGGAGAGTAGTACCTGCAATAATTTGTAAAAAAATTATTTTTTTTAACATTAAAAGAAAATTGTTTGCAATTTCGTAAATACTAATTTGTTTCATCCTTTCATACATTATTACAACCTGGTGACTCTCATATAAAAGTCAGTTATTCTTTAAATTAAACCCAAAAAATAACTTCTGTATCCATGATATAAATTATGTTAAATCAGTCTGCAAGTCGTGAGATCTTTATAGATGCATGCTGACAATTACAGGTGGGCATTCTTCTAAAAGAAGATTTCTAATTCTAAGATGCAGGTAAATGTCAAGTTGTCAAAAACAATTTTGTTAAGGCAGTAAGTTATACTTTATTCTTAGACTTAAGAATGTAAAAAATATTTAAGACTCACTTGACAATTTCTTCTGGATAACAGTTGTTGATAGTGTTGATGTATTCTGCCAAAGCTGATCCAGGTTCTGCTTTAATTTCTTGAATCTTTTTGAGTCCTCCACTTGTGACAAAGAGTCTTCTAGCTTTTGAATCATGAGGAAGAACTTTGCTGAACTGTCCAACAACATGCTTGAGAATATTTGGTGGAGCATCATGCAAAAGAGGTTCTAGAGCTGGTAGGTGCACACATTTCTGAAGGATATTCTTAAGTGCCTTCTTGCTCTGTTAGATAACATTAAAATAACAAATGATGATATTTTCTTCAGATAAACTGCATGTATAGTTATATAATAGCTCAGTAATCATTTTTACAATCTATTGCTACAGTTATATGAAAATAACATGCTTTAAAGTTATGTAAATGCCATTAAAATTTAATAACTATTGTGTGACATTTTTAAAGCTGGTGAAAAGAGATACATTTTTTAAGCTCTTCAACAAACTGATAGTGTAGAGCTGAATTACCTTTGTCTGTAAATCTTCTGAAACATCTGTTCTTAAGAAACACTGGAGAAGTTTAGGAAGAACATTGGCCACTGCAACTGCCTTAGCATGTTCTGGTGTGTGACGTCCTATCTGACCTAGAGCCCATGCAGCTGCTGCTTGTATATGGTCCTCTTGTTCTTCTGATAATGCAATTGCAAGCTGAACAACTCCCTGTTGTGAATTTAATTGTGGTAAGACAAGCAATTTAATAAAAAAATTTGTTGAAATATAATTGATGGATAAGTGCTAACTTTTACAAATTGATCCATTTTTGTTCCTTGACTCAAAGCCATTAAATTAGGCATGTTGTCATATTTTTACAGATATTATCTGCTCAAACAAGGCCAGTTAGCCAAAATTCTTAAATTGATGTGTCTATGTCTCAACAAAATAAAATAATTTGTATGAAAATTATTTCAGTTCTAAAGGTATTGTTTGAAATACACACCTTTGAAACAATGACAGCCATAGCCAAATTTTCAGAGTGTGCAGCAACATAGCCAAGCATCATGATACCTGGTAGTCTGACATTACTCTTGGAATCTCCAATGTAATCTACAACAGCAGCTACGCCACCAGCATTTACAATCAACTGAGAAAGCTAAATATACACAAGAAATTGTTTGTAATAAAAACTTACCAGAGCATATAAAGAAGTATATTAATAAGATAATTACACAACTGCAAAAAATGCAGAAACATAAATCATTTTATCATGATTAGTGCATGTAGCTGTTAAGATGTAATACATCTTAAGATCTTTAAAAAAGAATGTCAGAGGTTTTTTTAAAATCCATGCTATCTATTTACCTCTGGAGTGTGTTTGGCTATCTCTCTTATCAGTGTAGCAACATTTTTCTTTACATACTCATCTTGGTCCTTCAAACAAGTGAGAACAGCTGGGAAAATCTCGGCTTCTACAACCATCTCAGCAAGGTCCACAGAGTGTTTGGCAATCTGACTTAAAGCTGAGAAAACTTGACGCTGTTGTACAAAATTCATAATTTTATTTTTTTACTAACTTAATAATGTAACTAAATACTTAATATTGTAACATTATTTTTATTATAACATTTCTAATTCTAAACTGCACAACGTAAAATAGTTAATACTCTTTTGGTGTAAATATATGTTTATATTTATCACCTTAAGTTTAGCATCTGGGTTAAGAATCATTTGGGCTAAATGAGCTATAGCCCCAGCATCAACAACTGTTTGTGCCAGTTCTGGGGAATGCTTGCTAATGTCACTGAGTGCAGAAGCAGCTATTCTTTTCAAAGATATCTCAGGTTCTTGAATGCACAAAACCAAGAGTGGCACTGCACCAGCATCTACTACAGCTTGGGCTAATTCTGTAAATTTAAATAATTATGAATTTTTAAAACATTATTGTTGTAATTTATTGTCCTTGGACTATGTATGCAATATTTCAATTTCATATGCAATTTATTTGTATATTCGTGGGTTGAAAAGAGAGGAAAGAAAAAAAAAAGGGATGGAAATGTGGGGGGTTCAGGAAGAGGAATAATAGTTCTGAATAAAATTTAAGTATTAAGACTTTAACTTTAAACAAAAGTAACCCATGCTAAAGAGTTATCTGTGTGCTAATTGAAGAGGTAAATTAGACATAAGATTTAGAAGAAAGGTGGAACTTAAATTTTAGATTACAGTTACAAACCTGCATTGTGTCTTGCAATGTAACCCAGAGCCCAGGCAGCAGATTCTTTTACTCCTGGGTCAAACTCCTCTAAACAGATTACAAGAGCATCCAATGCACCACAATCAACAACTGACTGAGCAAGCCCAGGAGAGTGTTTAGCTACAGCTCGAAGTACAAATGCAGCTGCCTTTTTGTAGAAGCGCTAATTAAATAATAAGATGACCGATCAATGCCTGATGAAAACTTTGATAAGAGCTTGTTATAAGGAAATATAATTTTATGATTCTCTTATCGAGTCATGCAAATAATTTGTATAATATCAAACATAACCTTATCTTTAAGAATTATATTTTCTGTTTGGCTTTTTTCAAATTTCTCTTGTTTTTTTGGAAGCGTTATTCTCAATTTATTCTTTTCAGTATTTAAATGGTTTTAAATTAAAATGACTAATTACCATACAAATTATTTTACAACTTTATGTTACTCAGAAGCATTGGTGATTGGTGAGGATGGGAAGAACATATTTCCAATATTATGTGAATAACATTTGACTACAAGCATTGAAAATAATAAATTGTAATTATTATTTAACATATGACATATTAATTCTCACTTACATTTTGCTCAGCAAGAGAATAAACCAATTGTGGTAATATATCTCCTCTAACTACTGCTTCAGCTAAATCATCATTATAGTTTGCAAGTCTGCCCAGTGCAAGGGCTGCAGTTTGTTGAATTGTTGGCACAATATCCAAAAGTAGAGGACGCAAAAGGGACATGACGCCTGCATTTTGAAGAGTTTCAATATTTTGTGGTCTTGATGCCAACTCTGCCACTGTCTGGACAAATTGTGTCCGTGACTTCTGGTACTGTTCAAAAACTGTTTGAGGAAAATAAATCATTTCATTATTAGGACCAGTAAGTTCTAATAGAGACCATATCTCCAATGATCAAGTGAAAGAAAGAATTCATCAGGCAATTGGGCAGTACGATGACCCCCTGGTGACTGTAAAAAAAGCACAAACTTGAATGGTATGGCCATGTGACAAGGAAACAAGGGCTCGCCAAAGAAATCATGCAAGGCACAATGAGAGAAGGGAGAAGAAGAGGAAGACAGAGAAAAAGATGGGAAGATAACATTAAAGAGTGAACGGGACTAAAACTAGGTGATGCTGTGTAAAGTGCAGAAAACAGACGAATGGAGGATAGTTTACATTTCATCTTTGGTGCCCCAACGGTCCAAGGACTAAGGGACATGATGATGAAGTTCTAATAGATGACTGTTTGGTTAAATGTGTTGGCACTAGAATACAACAAACAAACCCAAGCACTAACAAGAAAAAACATTTCACCAACTTAGTAACTCTGAATTTTCAGCATATTATGGTGGATCATCTACTATAATCCAATATGCCTACTGCATTTGTTAAACGACAGTATTTTTAATTTACATCCAATGCCAATTAATGTTCCATTTCAAGACATCTTCAACTAAAGAAATGAAACAAATAAACGTTATGAACCCACTGGTACACCAACAAGTTAGAGCCCTGATGCCACAACCTCCAGTGCAGGTAGACAGGGAATGAATTCATCAATGGTTTAATTATCTTTATTCTCTAGAGAATTATACAAATGCACTATTAGAGCTAAGTGTTCTGGATTTCGATTCACTTTTGTGTCTTTTTAAACCATAACGGCACTTTTGCAAGAAATTATAAAAATGTACCCGTCTTCTCCCTCAAGTGCTAATGGCATCACAGTCAATTCATGTCTGCAATGCCTTAGTAAGTGTAGGATCCCATCCAACTTTCAGCTTATATTCCTTTGTTCCCGTATCCCTTCCTACATTTAGTCAGGAAAACTTGTCCATTTGAGTACTTACGACTTACAAGTCTTAGTGTAATTGGTGCCATACAAGATAAACAAGAAGTGATTAACTTATTAACTTTCTTCTGAACACAGAGATTATACCACTTTGTTTAAAGTGGCCGTGAAGTATCTAAGATTGTTGCAACTTTCATCTTACAGAAAGTTCTTTAGATAAGACTGGATTGTAATACCGATATATTTATTTGTCACATGTGGCAAGATTTTGGGTCAACTGGTGCTTTAACTTTTAAAAGAGCCTCTGCCTACTTACTAAAAGTAGGTTGCGTGTTGTTACCTCAGTCTTTCTGATAATTCTAGAGAAAGAGAAGCAATTCATCAATGTTTACTGGATCAGCTTAAAGATACCACCTATCAAACCTGTCACAAGGATGACCATCCCAGTACCACAAAACATCGGCTTGTTCAGGCTCAGCAGAATTTATCTGAAACCCCAAAATGAAGCTACAGGAAATAGACCCATGTAGTCTAACTGAGTAAAGCTTTAAATGTTTTGCATTTTGAAAAAAAAGATGAGGTGAGCCATTTTGCAATATAGTTTAATAAGAATGAAGTTTATGATGTTTTGTTTAAAATTGTAATTCTTAATTAAGATAATTGTGTAAATGCTGAAAAGAAAACATTTTGTATTAGTAAAAGCTTTAATTTCAACTAAACTATTTTCTATTTCATTAATTTCTTTTAAAAATGAAAGGAAAACAGCATTAATAGTTGGCACAATATTGTTCTGTAGAAACGTTTAAAATAATTTTGTTTTAACCACAACTTGTAATTAATAATTATCACCATTTAAAATATTTTAATGTAAGTGAAACTATTCCTTATTATTAAAAAATGCCTTTAAAATTAAATCTCTTTAGTGTGAGCTGCTCTTCAAATGTTTGATTAATATTTGCTAAAGAGAGAAGTTTATACAGGGTGGGTCAATAAAAGTGAGAACATCTCGTAGCGTAATATTTTACGAGATGTTCTCACTTTTATTGGCCCACCCTGTAGATTATTTGATGATACACTTTGCTTCGCTGCCATTGACTTTTTTTTTAAATGATGAAAAATGCTTTTATTGTGCAAATATGTTTTCTAATAACATTTTGCATTTGTACAAAAAATAATAATAATAAATGAAGTTTTATCTGAGGGAAGAAAAACTTTGATAGTATCCTTTCGCCGCCTTGTGGCAATGCTAACAGAAAAATCTTATAAAGGACCTTTCCAGGTGGTATTAAGGTGTACTTAATAAAATTTATATTATTTCAACTGCTGCAATTCCCCTGGTGCCAAGCTAGATCACCAATTTGTTGAACTGGTTTCACTAGTCTCTTTGATAAAAAAACTCAAAGAAATTTAGTTAAAAGATGTTGTAACATATCCCTATGATAGCTATAAACTATAACTTATAAGTAATCCAAACAAAAATTAAAAAGCATTTATAATTTTATTAAGGTGCATTGGGCCATGGCAGTGTGTAGATATGAGTAGCAAATTATTATTTATGTCTTAGAGTTTTAGTTTATATATACTATATAATATATATATATATATATATATTATAGTTAGTTTTATACTAAGGACATAGTGATTTTAGTAGAGTAAATTAACAGATTTTTTTATTTTAGTTCTTTTACTTTTTAGTTTTGAAGAAAATTAATTAGGGTTAGGCTTAGGGCTTAGGGCCATTTTTTTTTTAAAATTGCCAATTTCAAAGATTCCCAACAAGCAAACGACCTTTTAATTAATCCATCACGTAATAACTAATAAATCAAACCTTGAAGCACTTGTCTACTCATTCTGGTAGCACAATTGTATCCCCCTCTAAACAAATCGCCTTGCTAAATGTTGTCTGCAGAATGCCAAGGAGCATGTTGCTAGGCAACAAAAGCCAACAATAAAGATGATAAGGACAAATTACGGCTCCAATCATAATTTTCAAATGCTAGACAGAAATACTAATATCACGATTTATTTTATTTATTTATTTGTGCTAGTTAAAGATATAATGTAACTTGCATTCAATAAAAATTAAAATTATATTATTTATTTATATCTATATTTTTTAAACAAAATTAATATTTTGATATTTATTTGATTTGATGAAAGAATTCGTAATCGTGTTTGGGTCTTCATGATTCATATACCAGTATAAAATTATGGGCTTATAATTTATGTAGCCCAATATGGGCATGGGGCCTACCTGCTACCTGTATAAGCATATCTGAAAGAAAATAATTGCAATTTAATAGTTAACCATTTGAAAATGTTTTAGTTATTTTTTTTAAATCATATAAATAAAATACATATTTTAAAAAAATTTATTCAGGTTATATTGAGTCATTAGCGTTATTATTTAATTTATTGTTGGTCTTTGACACTCTGTGACCAATGTCCCATGTCCCATTCACTGCTACTAAGGTGAATATTAAGATGGCGGCCTCCTTGCGAAAGTCTTTACAGATTTATTTTAATTGTAAATCAAGATATCTGTCGGTTTCGTTAAATCATAACATTTATAGATATCTGGTAAGAGAAATATAGTAATAATTTACTTAAATAATTGTTTATCTAAATTACATAGGCCATGATAGGCCTATACAACAACGTTATTATGAATAGGCTATGGCTTAAATAGTATAGTATAGTATAGTTTTATAGTAAGTAAGTAGGAGGAGGAATCAGTGAGTAGTTAAAAAGTCGTAGACATTCCTTTATCAATGACTTTATATATAAATTTAAATATCTCTACTGTTTATTGTTTGTGTTAGTTTTGGTCATAAATGAAATACCAGTGGCCTTCATTTTGAATGAAGGTCAGGAGCCGTTTTTTTCTGGAGTTAATAACTCACTGGTCTTCAAAGTATCAAAGTCAAATGATTATTAGCTTTTTTAGGTGTCAGATCTGGGCTGAGATATGACTAGAGGGTAATCTACCACTTGAGGGTCGGCCAAGAAAAAATCCAGTTGTTCCGATTTGAAGTTTGAAGGGCTATTTAAACAATTATTCTTATGGCTTCACTTTCGTATTTAAAGTTATTTAGCACAATACATTTAAATAATTATTACTACGTTACTAAGTTCCCGATATGGCAGGAAGAAAAAGAGGACAGACTACAATAGTCCAGATGCACGAAGTGTTTGATATTGATCAAATGTGAAATGAAGAAGTATGGCGGCTGTCCACACTACTGCCGACTTTGTCAGACCCTAATTCAGCACTACGATGGTGTGTGTATCGACGCCTGTTAAAAAATAGTATGACATGTGGTGTCTGCAATGGGCTATGCAGGTTAAACAGATACGATTAAGGACAGGACGGTCTCAGGTGGGCCTGTGCTGCATGCAGGTATAGAAAATCACTGCGAGAAGGCTCTTTCTTTGCAGGAAGTCACCTCAGCATCCAGCAAATTATTATTTTAGTTTACTGCTGGTGTTGTGATATGCCACAGTTGCAGATGGCACGCGAAGCTGACGTCCCAAATGTCACTATTGTGTCGAACTGGTGCAATTTTATGCGGGAGGAGTGCGAAACCTGGCTGGCTGCAAATTGATCTGAAATTGGGGGTTTCGACGAACAAGGAGAATCAATTTTAGTAGAGATTGATGAAACAAAATATTTCCACAGGAAATACCACCGTGAACAGTGGAGAGAGGGTCACTGGGTTTTTGGTGGCAGGGAAAGAGAGAGTGGTCGCTGCTTTCTTATCGAAGTGCCAGACTGACATGCAACAACATTACAAGAGTGCAATGAAAGATACATCCCTCCAGGGACACTTATTGTATCCGACGGTTGGGCCGCGTATGCAACTATAAACAAAATAAGAAATGGTATATATAAACACTCCGTTGTGGTACATCAACAAAATTTTGTTGATCCAGATGACGCTGATGTCCACATACAGAATGTGGAAAACATGTGGATGCGCGCGAAGTGCAAACTGAAAAGGCAGTTTGGCACAAACCGCGAACTGTTCCCTTCATATCTACATGAATTCATGTTCCGCAACCGTTTTCAAGGAAATGATATTTTCAAAAACTTCATTCTCGCCTTGGGGGAGAACTATGCATAATGTGATTTTCACACATTACACTGTTTGAATTCTTCTATTTTAATTTTTTTTTAGTGAAATTTTTTTATATTTTATATTTTTTCAATTGTCTTGTGTTATTTGTTTTACTGTATATGTGCTGGAATGAATACGTACAACGTCGTAATCCAAGATAAGAATAATTGTTTAAATAGCCCTTCAAACCGGACAACTGGATTTTTTCTTGGCCGACGCTCAAGTGGTAGATTACCTGACTAGAGTTAATGTGATTAGACTGAGATAGATTAATAATTTAAGTCTCTTAATCTTAAAAATAATTAAAGTTAAGCCCTATTCCTTGTTGTTGCTGAGTAAGTTAGTTCGAGTATTAGTATGCCGGTAATGGCTAAAATGCAAAATGCCTTAAATCTTAAATATTAACGAGGTTTAATAAATTATAGCCTAAATAAAGGGAGACTTTGACAAAATTTAATAATCCCAAATGGTCCCCGGTGCAGAAAGATTCAGTTTTTTAATTTGTAGGATATATAGGTAGGTCTTATCAATTTTGTCATTTTTAAAGCTCTTTTTTGAGTGTTTTTATATAACAACGTTACAAGAGTGCAATGAAAGATACATACCTCCAGGGACACTTATAGCAGTGGTTCTTAACCTTTTTGGAGCTACCGAACCCCACCAGTTTCATATGCGCATTCACCGAACCCTTCTTAATAGGAAAAATAAAATATGAGTTTTTTCTGATTTTTTTTTTGACCTTTGCCGAACCCCTGAAGCTGACTCGCCGAACCCTGAAGCTGACTCACCGAACCCCTGGGGTTCGATCGAACCCAGGTTAAGAACCACTGCCATATAGATTGTCTAATTACTAATACTAATAATCTTGTCACTAGAATGAACTGTCTAGTCTCTAGTACTTACTACTTAAGTCTAACTTATTGCTTAGTCTTTAACTTAAGTTGTAGTAATTATTAACTAAGACTTTTTATTAATAATTGGATTGGACTTAAATGATTTGGCTATTACTATTATATAATTTATAATGATGGCTATTAAGTAACTAAGTGAGTAAGTCTAAGTTATTATTTTTAGTTAAGTAGAAGTTAACTTACTTGTGACTTTCTTCATTGTCATTATTATTATGATTAAGTCTTAATCATAATAATAATAATGAGTATAACAATAAGTATAAGTCTTGAACTTAAACTCTTAAACTTAAAGTCAAACTTTAAGTAGTTAAGTAGTTAAAGTTTAAAGGTAAGAGGTCACAATTTTTAAACAGTGTTAAATGATACTCATTATTACAAAGCTCGTTCATTCATGATCTAACCCCACTAATTTCGGACTGGAAAAGCCTGAAAAGTTTAAAGCTCACTCTTAATCATAAGCTGACCTAATAAAATAACGTGCCTCGTGCTGTCATCTGACATTTCAGCTAAGTTTTTAATTTTATATTTTTTACTCTTTGTTTGTACTCCTCGCTGAAGTAGGCTTCTTGCAGAAACGTTCGTTGTTTTGCTGCGTCATTTTTCCCTAACTTGTTCTACTTCTTTATTTTGACCTAAAGCTGATTGCAATCTTCTTCTTCTTCTATATCTTAAGGGCCCACGATCAATTTATTGATCATTTTGGCTCCTATGCATGTAGATGGGATTTGCAATGTTTCTGTTACTGGTGGTGATGAGGAAATTATGCACTAGGGGTTTGAAGGCTTGAGGCAATAATTGATCATTTTGGCTCCTATGCATGTAGATGGGATTTGCAATGTTTCTGTTACTGGTGGTGATGAGGAAATTATGCACTAGGGGTTTGAAGGCTTGAGGCAATAGACACAAATGTGTCTAGTGTTGACGCCTCAACTGTTCCTTTTGAAAGATGGTTCCAGTCCCTGATTGTCTTGGGCAGGAATGAGCAGCTCCTATACTGGCTTCTTGCTGGTATGAGCCTGAATTGCCTGTCATGGCCTCGTCGCTGTCTATGTGGGAGAGGGACGAGTTTCTGTTTAATACTGGAACAGTGGACCAGCCCATTATTAACATTTGTGTGCGTTTTTTTCTTTGCTCCAACTCTTCCATATCATGTGCTACTTATTCCACTTAATGCTCCTTTTAATTGATGTGTTCCACTTTATCTGCTTCTTGAAGAGCACTGGGTACCATATTTTACATTCATGTCATGTTAACTGAATAGATTTTTTTAAAATTCTTATCCAGGCTATTTTATCAGTTTATATATTATAATTTTCCTAGTTCATCTCAGGATAAAGCTTATATTAAATGTTTTGTTTAGATTGTATTTTGTTGTCTGTCACATTCAATCCAATATATACTTTTATTTTTTTTCCAGTCACTGACAAATAAAGTTTTTTCAAATGGTCCAGAAAGATGTCCTAATGGTCATAAATTTGTTAATTGGTCAAAAAAGGATCGTAAGCAATATGAGCCAACATTAAAGATGGTAAGGAAAAATTACAGCTCCAACCATAATGTTCAAATGCTATACAGAAATACTTATATCACGATTTATTATTTTCAATTAAGTCTTTATTTGTGCTAGTTAAAGATATAATTTTGAACAAAATTAATATTTTGATATTTATTTGATTTGATGAAAGAGTTTGTAATCATGTTCAAGTCTTCATGATTCATATACCGTACCGGTATAAGATTATGGGCTTATAATTATGTAGCCCAATATGGGCATGGGCCCTACCTGCAACCTGTAGGCATATACTGAACAATAATTAGCTAACAGAAGATAATTGCAATTCAATAGTTACCCAATTGAAAATATTTTAGTTATTTTTTTAAATCACATAAATAAAATATTATATTTTAAT